CGTAACATTTCAGGCCGGTTTAGATGCTCATCATGAGCTGAACTTAATGCAAGCCAGTTCAAATTAGGTTCTGCTCGCAAGAAGCATTAGCCCTAAACTACTACAAGGTATAAGGATCAAAGGGCCTTAATTTCGAGTGGAAATCAGACACAACTGAATTCAAGCCAGAAGCCTTTGCAATGCCCATAAGTAATAAGTCTGCAGAGTGTGTAGCTAAGTGCATTAAAACTTTTTCGTGCAGGTAATTGATTATTTTTGAACAACTTATTAACTAGTACATATCAGATCACGAGTGAGATCGACTGATATTGGGCAAAGGGGATGGGTGAGACTGACTGATGTTTTATGAGGCTAATGAAGGGGATGAATGAGACAGACGATTGAAAATTGAATGATTAATCATCAACAAACATGCTAGGCTTCCTGCGGAGTCACAAGTCACAAAAAACGGTTAAAATAAGGAAAATTTGTGCTCATTTCATCTTATACAACAGAAAATTACCCACAATTACAAGAAATCCTTGCGTGACACATTTTAACAACGCTACCTGTTACCCAAACAGTTTTCTTTGCTTTAATATTTATCCAGTTTTTTGAGGGATCGTTAAGATTGGGGGAGAACTGAGCCCGCCGTGCTACGTGCTCAGTTATCCTCCCAGGCTGCACATGCGCACTTGTTACAAGGAGAGTACTCAGAACCGGGGAGGACTGAGATCGTGACACCGGTGCATGCAATGCTCTTCCTATTGAGCTACAAAGGTAGCTGACAAGTGCGATCGTGGTTATAGTGCGGATATTAGGAAGGTAATCCCTGCGATTAAATTCAAATACTACATAATACTACATGTATATTACAAGTATACGATTGTTGTTCCTGATAAAACTTTCAGGCCATGCACTACTCACGAGTGAGTTTTTCAAAACCCTAAAGTTGCACGAGTATACATAAAATTGTTCGACAGGAAAAAAATTCATACGACATAGCTACATTACTGATTAAAAGTATTCAAACACTGTTTTACAGCCCTCATGAAAATCCTCATATCTACTTTAAAACAAAAGCAATTTGTATAAAAATATTACATGTTCCAGAGCGAGATTTTTCGCACTGTTCAGCAGTTATTTTAACTTACTATTTTAAACCGGAAGTACATTTTTAACCTAACAAGTGCCATTTACTACCTTTTTAAGTTTATTGTTTAATTGGGAGGATATATTTGTGAGAATATCGATGTTTTAGGAAGAATGAATAGTAAAGTGTTTGTATTTTTGAATAAAGATCGAATAGGGCCAGTAAGATGTGTATAGTTTTCATTGTCGATCAAATTATGGCCGGTCAAAAAAATAACAAAACATTTAAGCATTTTAAAAATTTATGTCCAACACTTTTTAAGTATGCCTTGTCTACAAGTATTTGGAATAGGTTCTCTTAATCTCAGTCAATATCTGCACGTGGTAATTTACAACACTAAAAGACCCACGTTGTCAGGTTTTGAATATTTAATGTTTTATACTCATTTAAAAATTTATGCACTTAAAAACTGTTCTTTGCACTAAAAGGCCTGATTATTCGGGAAAAGTGAAAAAGTTCTAGCAATCAAATTAATACAGTCATGAATTGAATTTTAATTGAATTTTAAAAAAAGAAGTGGTAAATGCCACATCTTTGGTCATAAATCTGCTTGCGAGTGACCAATTAATTCCTAAAACTGCTAGGGAGTGCATAATATGACGCTCTAGAATCTAAAAATAGTCATGCTTTTTTGTGAGGGCCAAAAAGAGGTGTTTGAATACTCAGTACTGATCAGTACTGTATTTCAATTTTATGTCTTGAGCCTACATGTACAAAGTTTATATATTTTATATTCAGAATATCAAATCACTGAAGCCTAGCTCACATTTTAATGGTTGTTTAACGGTTCGTAGCGAGTAAAGGTTTTAGCACGAGATTAAGGAAAACGCTTTTTTTTTTCCTTGTCAGGAAATTTTCGACAATTATAAAGAACGTTTCTTTACCGATTTTATTTCCTACGTCAGTACATGTACATAAAACTGGCTGTATCAAAAATGGTAATCAAACTTCAGCATGCAGTTGTGAGTGTTGTCGGAAAACTACACTATACTAAATAAATAAAGCATGCAGGGTCGAAACTAGGGCGATAATTCGGGGAAGGGGTGGTGATAATTTTTTTATATGATGTTCTGCCCAACGGATTTCTTTTGAAAACGCGCATACATATACAAAAGAGATCTGTCAGACAAAAGGATATACGAATATGTATCCCCCCCCAATTACAGTATCACATCTATAGTTTCGATCATGCAGAAAGCATAATTAATCAGGCAAAAAAGTAAAAGAAAAAAACCCGTGCTGAATTAAGTTGCATTGCTGCTTAAATGTATAAGAATAGAAATTTCGGTTCGTTAATCAACCGGATAACTGTGCAGTAATATAATTTAGCAAAAAAAGTCTACATGCAATCTAGTATAAAGCCCCGTAGAGACGGACGAATTTTCCTTGACAAATTTTCCTTGCCAAGTTTTGTTTGCTCGTGCATTTGTACGCGAAATATTATCGCCCTTAGCAAACCTTATTAAATGATTGATAAAAAAAAACTTACCAGGTGTTTTGTATACTTTGAAAATATTGCGGCGAGTTTATCCGCATTGTAATCAGAACCTTGTGGAAGACAAAACTATATAAGATGAAAGGATTATCAAAATTCACCGTTAGAAATTGATATGGACCTCTCTGTAGCCTGTAGCAGTACCTAGGTCATCTCAATGAAGAGGTCAGATTCACTCTACCTATCAGGGCGTGCTCTGCTATAGTCTGTTATCTATATCATATAAGTTCACCTTGAGAACTTTTAAAACTATAATATGTCTATTTATATACGACTATATATAGGACATAAATCATTAGAGGCATCGTAATTGCCCGTATAGTAGGTAACAATTTGATTAAGAGACAAGTGAAATATGATATTGTTCAAATTGATTGTGTTGTCAGGTTTTATTGTTAAGTTCAGTACTCTATTAAATATTACCAAACACAACAGAAATGGTAAGAAATCCAGGAAGCCATCCGTGCGGCAAGTGTGATGGCGTGTGCATGACGCGTTCATTTTGGAAAAACTATCCCTAGTAATACTTCTGATTATACATATTCTGTGAAAGAGAAGGTGCCATCTACGCTTTTTCATATAGAGGCAAAGCGCCAGAGAAGGTAATCACTTTACCTTATAAACCTGCAGAGTACTGCACATGAGCTCAATGCCATCACCAAACCCAAAAAATCTCGGGTCCTTCACGAGTGAGTTCTTAGGTAGTTTGTGAATATCGTAAACATTTGTACATGGAATAGATACGATGATGTCATGTTGAACAAGATCTGTGAAAGTATAAATGAAAATCACGCGTACATATGCAAACGTTTTAGGCCGATATTAGGGACCTTAAGCATGTAGGACGGCAACACGACGACGACGTGGTTGGAATACTCCTTTGAATTAATGTTATGATAAAGCGTTGTTGTATATTATTAGTGTACCAGTTTAATGAGATTTAAGACGTTGAAAACATTGTGTTTACGTTTTTAGGGACAATTCTATAGAGCTAATTCGAGGTGGCGCTCACTGGGTCCTGAAATGCAGACGTTCTACATAGGACGTAATAAACGACGTTTTGCCGTTGTAAACAGAACGTAGATCACGCGCCTAAAACTCCCATAGCTAATTAATAATTCATTTCTTTTCAATGAAGCATTGTATTGATAGCTGCCGTCGTCGTGTTACCGTCCTACATGCTTAAGGTCCCTATTCACTGACACGGTCCGCCAACGCTACGCGATTTTTACGAATTTCTGAGGTTTCAAAAGCAACAAAAAACAGCAAAAGCAAGTTTGATCATGTTATGATATTCTTGATAATTACTGAAGGATAGCATACTTTGACATGTCTGGGGCCCATAGCTCTCAAAATTTCCCTCCAGAATTGAATTATTTTGCTTAAAAAAACCCCAAAAATTCGCGTTGCGTTGCGCCCAGTGTGTGTGGGCCTTAAGCCTGTTTTCCACCAGGCGAATTTATTTGCGCGATGCGATATCTGAAATGCGGTGCGGTGATTAGTTTGCGAAAAAATTTGCCGCGAAAAAGAAGAATCGCTTTCTACTTTTTATCAATCTGCACGAATAAATTGCCTATTGGAAAACGGGCTTTATACCACATAGTTTCTTTCGAAATTGTAAGACCAGTACATGTGAGTGTCAGAATGTTTTTTAGGTCAACGATTCTGGAATCGACATCACGTCCACTGGTACCAGAGTTTTCCAAAACTATTTAATAACGGACTTTGATGGACTTGTTCAGAATATATAGGTTTTTTATATAAACCTTTAGATTTCCAGCTGAAACAGCTTGCTTGATATCCAAGCGTTTAAGTTCGAATCGTCTGTACCGCACATTTGAATTAACTAAGTCCGAAAATAAATCTCGCAGAGCACTTACAAATACTCTTGACTAAATCTATAGGGCGGAGAAATAAGATAGAGTTGAATGGTTAGGATTGGTTATTATTTAGTACACTTTCTTTAAAGCGGCCAAAATGATCATATCGAATTGTCGTGAACAAGCCACCTTACCCGATATGAAATAGTCCGAATGAAAAAATAAGTAGATGAGATATAAGGTTGTATGCGTGCAGCATCTGTTTACCTTTCTCTGTTTCATCGGATTCCGGTGTGTCTACGGGCTGTAGAGAAATCAACTTACAATTGTCGTCTAAATTTTCTCCACAGGAAGTTTGAACGACGTTATTTTCATGTGATCTGTTCAATGTAAATTGTGACTTTCCCTTGTAAGTCGATCTTAACGTGCGACTGAAAATAGAAGAAAAAACCTTGGCCTTAATTTACGAAGAATAACACCCAGAGAATGATTTATATATCTTTGTCTTATATATATTACTCGGTCTTGTGAAAACTGGTGGGCGATCCGCTCCAAACAATTTGCTACTCGACGAATATGAATCAGCCGTATAATGTTTAGACCAGGGGCACATTATGAGTTAAGGGCATCACTGGCTCATTATAGAGCAAGTTTAAGACAGGTGATGATTACCCCATGCACTTTATAAAAAAACTATCTTTTGCATGACTGTTACTTTACCATGATTTTGAATGTTGCAAGTTCTTTTGGAAATGCTGTGCTTTTTCTCTAAACCTCTCAAGTGTATCTGAAAACCCTTTCTTTTTCCCAAACTGACTGCTATTTTTCTTGGATACAAGGGATGTATGGTGGTCACCACCAATGGCCTCGTCTTCTACATCCTGAAGGAAAATGGTATTACCGGTTTCCATGACCATTGCAAAATTGCAACAGAAAACTGGAATGCTTACAACAAGCTTGGACCCAATATGTGTTCTAGTATACCACACTTGATAAAATGAGTAGAACTTTGACAATTATTGGCTTCCTATACAATATTCATTGGGGACAACTAAACATTTTTTATGCATCAGCTTGTATTCCATTTGGTATTCGGTAGTACTTATCATAGTTGGTAAGGAAAAATTTGTATTCATATGTTACTAAATCCGCTATATTTTAAGTCAACAATGACAAAATTATTACAAAAGGCTGCTTTGCAAAAGGCTGTTTTTTTAAATTTAATTTTTGAAAATTAAGAACATTTAAAAACTCGATTTTACAGAATTTAAATGGCACAAGACCAGGAATAAGTATTATTGGTTAAACTGTTTAAAAAATTAGGCCAAAGACAAATTCAGGTTTGAGCAAAGTAAACATACCGGTGATGAACCACTGAATATAACTCTAAATGTTGTAAGATGCAACGTTCCTTCCACAGGAGAGAGATATGTTTCAACACATATTGCATCTTGCTGCAGCAAAATCTTCTCACCAGGTAGTAATGTTGGATGTTTTGACAATTTCTTATTGGTAGCTGGAGCAAGGAGTGGCTTTAAAAAAATGAAGGTATAGAGGTAATATATAATGAGTAGCAAATCATCTGCTTTTATTAACAGAATTCAATTTAATAATGAACTAATAGTGTTTTAGGAATCAGAACCATGTATTATAGTGATTATAATTTTTTCCAGGCATTAATGACCTTTGACTGTCAGGACATTTACATGAACTTGACTAAATGCAGTAATACAAAAAGCTCACTGGTCAGAAATCATTATTTGAAGTTTGTGCACATTTTTTAAAACTGAAAATTCCAAATAGATAAAAACAGTGTAAAAAAAGAAATGCCCATGTATTAATTTTTTGGTTTATTTGTAATGTGTATTTGTATGCACAGCCAAAACCAAAAATTCTTAAGAGGTCAAGGCTCTGCAAAACATATTTTCCTCCAAGGTCCTAAGTAAAAATATCTTACTACATACTAATAGCTCTATTATATATAAAAGATAGCAAATTAAAAACTAGTGAATAAAATGCAAAAGATTGAAAGCACTAAAATTAAAATATGTTGTCAAAAGGTGCGTTTGACTTTTTCCCATTATCCCTGATCGGTCACCTATTAATCCCCTCTAGGGTCTGGATCTGCTTTGGGAAGATAGCAAAAATTCATTATTTGTGTAATATGATCTTGACCAAAACTCATTAGAAGGAGGGTTTTCATCTATTATTATACAAATTGTATTCTTCTATATTATACCTTATATTATTTCATATCACAAGTTAAGTTATTTCTTTAAACAAATCCATACAATAAGTTTGGCATTGTATGTGTTTCGGGAAGATTGTTCATAATATTAAAATATGGAACTGCCACCTCCGCAATAGATATAATCATAACTAGGGATCCAAGAATAGTGCAAAGTTTTCATGCCCTGTAATACCTAAGCAACCAGACGTTTGTCCCAACATAAACATTTTGACTTATGCCTGTAAAAATATAACGAACTAGGTTAAACATTAATCAAAAGGAAATTACTCAAAGTACTCAAATGACGTTAGCCGCGGATACTGTCACTATTAAATTATAGCTAATTTTAGTTGCCCATGTAAACCGGCCAAACCGGGCGCGATTTTCTCAGTGTAGTCTCTTTTCTTCGTCAAACAACTGTGACTACATTCACTACATTTATATGACGGCACCAATTTATCCGTCATTTCATAAGAATAGCCAAAATAGTTGCGTTGTAAATAATGTAAATAAACCGCGGTGCATATTATGTATATGATGTGGATACTTCGACGCGTAAAATCGATACAAAACAATATACTTATAATCAATACTGTATACCTCCAAAATGATTTGATTACTGCACAAAATGTCCGTTTTGTATAGTATCATTTATGTACTGTATGCAGAATATCAGGTATCGACTTGCTATCGACATAATATACATTCGTGTAAGAGTCTATCAATACATATTAAACAACACAGCGTCGTTTCTTCCTAACCTCTTAGCTCTATTTATGGAATAAACCTTCCAAATTATATTTGTGTTGAATTGAATGCTCGTAATTCATAACATAAGTTGATAAAGTGCGTAGATTCTCAAAGATTTGCTCGATTTTTACGCCCGGAATGTTTTGAAGCAATGCTCGTCGCTCCTCGTTTCTTTACATCGTGAATAATGTTCAAGTCTCGACGGCACATGCGCAGTTGCGACGTGTAAGAAAGAATCGGGTGTTCCGGGGGGTAATTTTTGCAAATCCCTTTAAAACAAAACCCAAACCGCGGAAAAGCAATGCTTCAAAATTTACAGTAACCGCCAAAATCCCTCAATATTTTGGTGAACTTTGCAGAACGGGTATAGTGCATTAATAAATAAAGCATGTTAAACTGATTTATAAACCTTAAATTACTGATCATACACAAAAAGTTACTATACGCATAAATCAACCTACCCCCCGTAAAGTTTACACTATGACTGACTGACTGACTGACTGACTGACTGACTGACTTACTGACTCGTTTGAATTTTCGCCACTCATCACAATACTGCAAAGTTTCTCAAACTTTGCACTAAAAATGGAGAAGCCACTGTTCGAAAAGTTCGTGTCTAACAGAACTTTGGTAAAATAATTTTCATACATGTAATTTGGTTGCCATGTCTAATGATACATAGTATAGGGCCTGGGGCAGAATTACCAGGTTGAATATATGTGTTGTTTAACCTTCATTTCACTGTACAGGGTGAAATAAAAAAATAATGTCATTCTTTACATTTATTAGAATATGTTGAAGACTTGTACAAGACAATGCTAAGTGCCGAAAGTGATCAGGTGGATGAGGCATACAAGGAGTTGGTAGATATGACACCAGATCCCATGAATTCTATGCTGCAAAAGCAACCAAGAAATGAAGCCATAAAGAAGATGCTTGATCGTCAAGAAATGGTTGTTGTCAATGTCAGACCCACTGCAGGTATTCCACATTTGCAGTATGTGTACTCTTTTCAAGGAATAAAAATATAGAGTGACAGTGGGAAATACAATGCAACATAAATTGTATGGGTATGTATAATAGTTAAGTATATTAATTTTATTTATTTTTTAGAGCCTTCTACTGTGCAGGTACAACCGGTAGCTCCTTGCGAGAATCGAGCAAAACCATGCTGTAGAACATGTGGCCAACCCATGAAAGGCCATAAAAAGGTTTCCAACTGTCCTCGAAACCAGAAGTAATGACAGGATGTATATATGTATATTTGTAAATATTTAATTTGTTCCTTAGTGATATTAAAATGCCTCATACTCAAGAACTTTGTTCTCAATTACAAAAGCTTTCCCAAAAAAGACAAGATGGAAAGCACTGGCAGGATGAGGGGAAATATTATTATGGAAGCCACTATTACAAGTCACTATTACAACTAGTATTACAAGTCATCCATCCCCGGTGATGTTAAATAAGCCTATAATAAGCATGTGTTTGTATAAAATTTTAATCCAATATTTTAAAACCTTTTCTTACAAGACTTTTAAACTAACAAGGCTGTGAAAGAAGAATTATATAGTTAGTGTCAAATATTATACCAAAGTATCTACATTAAATTAAGATGCGTTTTCGTCATCATCATCATCATCATCATCATCATCATCATCATCATCATCATCATCATCATCATCATCACCATCATCATCAAATCCCTGGTATTCCTTTCCACTGAATTTGCTGCGTATTACATGATAGGCACATGCAGGCAGTGGTATTCGTCTTTTTCCTAAGTAGCCATAAACAAGTTGTATATATTGTCTGTATGCAACACTTCGAAGATATCTGCAGAGTGAAACAAAAAAATATGTTGTTTACTTATTTGAGAATACTGAGTTTTCTATTATACCCATGTAATCAGTGCATTGTTAGCCAGGGATCAAGGTATTAGGTATGGAGCAATGCTGCATGTGCACATTTACTGTAGCCTAGCAGACTAGGATATGTAAACAGAAATCCATATTGTAATGCATTTCAAGTTTGATTGTTTAGTGCTAAAGTTGATGGGTTCCTGTAGAAGCATTGCACTGTTTATATAAACACAACATTGACTATTGGTACTACAAGAAGACATATATTACAACTCCATTCGGATCTTTACCTGTTTTCGTCGCTACCCATTTTATACTTTTGTCTGTCGATTCTTCTAAACTTTGGCCCAGCTAAGCGCAATGACCAAATAGATAAACACACATCGCTAAAGCCAGGATGAAGTGTGATGCATTTAGGGACCGCACTCATTTCTTGCATGATAATATCACTGCTGAGTGCCTCGCCACAGCCTTCTACTTCTTGGCAACATTTACTCTCTTTTTCGTTTTGCAACAAGTCGGTTTTACAATTCCCACATCCACACCTGCGGAAGGAAAAATGTAATAAAATAACCTAATACTGAACACGTGAGTTTAAACAGTGTAGGTAGTTTTACTCACCAGCCTTCAACAGATACACGTCCTTCGAGCCGGCCTCTAAGTACTCGAAGCCTATCGTCTTGATTGCGCCTTTCTTCGTAATAGTTTTCTACCCATTCAGTGTCAGCAATTGGTTCGTCTTGGTATGGTTGCATTAATTCTTGATCGCCTTGTGCTTCGGTAGCCAAAGGAGCGTCATCTTCAACTTCCATCATGTAGCTCGTAATAAAATTATTTTCTGATTCACTTTGGCTATCGATCGGATCAGTAAAGCTCGACGACATTGTCGTATCCGCCAAATTAAGCAAAACGCGGCAGGAAAGTTGGAAAGATACAACTCAAAGTCTATCTTCGCTCTTGCAATATGTAAAATATAGTCTTTTATAACTTTGCAAGAAATGCGAGTTCCGAAATGACGTCACAACCCGTCTCACAAGCGTTCTCGCCCTAGTCCTTTTAGGGTCACGGTTTTATTCAAAATCACCAACTTTGAGGTCCTCAAAGTCAATGAAGATGAAATTTTCGACCTATCAAATATATTGCAAAAAACTATCTAAAAAGTCTATTTCCCCAATCATGACATAGGCACTTAAATGAGTATTGCTGAAATTAATGCATCCTATAGACGACCAATTTAAATAGGCAATAATTATTAAAGACTTATGTATAATTGTTTGTGAACCACAATTTTTCATTTTTGTAGCTGAAAATGGTTCCAAGATTTTTAACATTTCTTGGATAACCAAGCAATGGGCTCTCGTAAGAATCCAGCACCAGGGCAAAAAGGAATGGGCCGAAATCTCGGTCCGACCAGTTGTTTACAAAGACAAAATTTCCTACGGAAAATGGAGACGAGTGTTCTTACACTCCGTAGTGAAGATTAAGACAGCTCAAGATGGTGCCCCAAGCACAATGGCATTCATAAACTTACCATCTGACGCATCATATGAAGTTCGAATGATGCCAATGAACCCCGATGGTGAAACCAGAACAGCTGTATATATGTTTTTAGATGCACAAGAAACCGCCGATAAAGGTTTGAACACAATAAAAAACATAAAATATATCTTGAATACAGGCAACCTGTCATGATTCTTTACTAAGAAAACCTGGATATGTTAGATCACTCTATAAATGTGCTTCTGAGAGGGGTCATTATAATTCGGAGTTATCATATGTGGAAGCGGATGAAGCATTAGACGTATCATGATGCATCTTGAAACTCAGAGGCGTTTGCATTTAATACCATGCACGTGTCAATACCAGAGTCTTTTTTAGTAAAGAGTTATCGGTGTTCGTACTAGAGGTCAACCTAACTTTCCAACACACAACTTCTTTATAGACTCCGTGCAGTATTTCTATGTATTTCTGAAGATCATTTGCGTTATTCTTTATGTCGTTCCAGGAGAGACAGTGAAGTTCAAAAACGTGTTGGCACAAATGAAGAATTTCAAGGTTACGTGGTGTCAGTATTGGCATGGTTGGTGGATGCATCGCGGTGCTTCTAATCCAGACTATCTGCTATTGTATCATGGGGTAAGGATTATTCAGATTACTTGTATACATGTTGTTCTTCAGCAAAAGCGGCTGTATTCAAAAAGTCAATAGGGTTATACAATTTGATTCGATAAATAAACTTTAACCAATCTGGTGAACAAAAACATAGATCATCAATTTGTAGAAACACCATGTACGTGCATGTATTTATTATATGCGCCGCTTTCGGGCCATTAACCCTGAAATTCATCAGTGCAATAAACTTTTGGACATATTGTAACAGCCCTATACACGTCCTTGAATGGTTTAACTTTAAAGTTTCAAGATTTAATCATCCTATGCACTATAACTTATATGATTTAAAGATGAGCTTGGTATTTTGATGTTTCTTTCGAGAGCTGTGTTCAGTGTAACAGAATTTCACAATGTTTCATTGCTTTTCATTTGTGGCTTTTTAGAAGCTGCGCTAAATGCGCAAAGAAGCTGCGCATCCGCAGAAAACAAAATGCTGACGTGCCAACTGACGTCGTTATTGACATTGAGAAAGATAACGAGGTAAGTGTTGCTCGTATTCCACAAAAATATGACCATACGAGTAGAGGAAGAAATGGGAAGATATAGCGTTGTTGTTCCCTTTGAAGTGCCGAATTCTAAAATAATTAATTTGAAAATCGCGAGCTGGAGATCTTTTAGAGACAAAACAATGGACAATTTCCGGGTCGGAATACTTTCAAGAACAAACTGAAAGTACTAAAATGATGTAAAATACGGAAAATATATGCTGGTAAAATGCGAAATGTCATACTGAGAGAAAACGTCAATAATTCCGGCTCAAAAGTGCGTACTCTTTTTCTTTTAGATCGAACAAGCTTCAGACGAAACAGAGACGACAGTCCTTGAAGCGAAAGAAACTGGCACAGAAGAGGCCAAGGAATAAAGCAGCTTTTGAAGATACAATTTTCAGTTTTTTATATGTTTGCATGTTAGATTTCTACAAGACTTCTACAAGACGTTCATGGCTCATGTTTGGCCGCATCGATAGCAGAGATGGCATTATGTGCGGGGACACAAGAATACAAATCCGTACATTCGAGTAGATATGACTTTCGTACAAGTATACAAAGCGAAAGAATTCGGAATCCTGAGGCCCGATATCATCACCATTTGCAGTCAAATTCTACTTTCCTACCGAAATTAAGATGGACTTCCGTGTGGATTGGAAGCACCTGTGGAGTGCGTGGTTAAAATGTCTCAACCGACTTGATCAACTGACTTCCTCTAAGGTACGTCACAACGGATCTTTGGACGACCAATGATGGTTACTCCACCGTGGGCCCAAACTGAAGCTCTACCAGTAACGAAACATCGCAAGAACGAAATCTGAATTTCAAGACGAAAGTAAAACATGGATTTGATTGCTGCATGCGATGTTTCAAGCGTGTTTGGGCTCGAGAAGCAGTTCGTGTATACGCATCTTCTGTTGTATGATACAAGTTTACTACGCAATTTGTTACAATGACGTGTTACCCGCAAGTGACTTGTGTTTGCCATAGTTTATTGCTCTCGATTAAAATTTAAGAAAATAATAGTATTAAAGGTGAAAATGTGTAAAATTGTATGGTGTCATTGCATGCTATTTGTAATAAACTAGATTTAATTAACAAAGTTGGGTATTTTGTATTTTTTGCGGGCGGCCTTTCTCCCAGCCGAACAGTGCTTGCAAAAAGCCCGTTTTCGGTGTTAATAAAATATTTTTATTTTCTCGGAAAGATACATGTGGTATTCTATTGTTATTCTTTTTCTATAAAGCAATGGGGAAAAGACCTTCCATGGAGATGTACAAAACGCACGGTGGTACTGGAGCCCTTTCCTTACAATTCTCGCGGTTTGGTGAGAAAAGTCCCTAAAATTTGCCCTGTGGCTTTCTGCCCAGCCGAACAGTGCTTACAAAAAGCCCATTTTCGATGTTAATAAAATATGATTTTATTTTCTCGGAAAGATGCGTGTGGTATTCTATTGTAATTGTTTTTGTATAAAACAATGGTCAAAAGATCTTCCATGGAGATACCGTACAAAACGTACGGTGGGACCGAAGCCCATTGCTTACAGCTCTCTCGCGGTTTGGTGAAAAAAGTCCCTAAAATTTCTCAAAATAGAAAACGAAGCATCAAATATTTACGAGGAACATGCTCTTTAGCTTAGCACACAGCCATACTGTTTAGAACTCGCTAAATTCGCCGCTAAAATTATAAGGCAAAAACCAGTTATCATGCAGCATTAATAAGCAAACAATTTTGAACAACTTGCGCCATTTGAAAGTTTAAACTTCACGTTACTATAGTCCAACAGGAAAAGGTAGCAAGCGGCAAAAAAGAGAAAATAGCTTTTGTAAAACTATAACTGGTCCTTTGTGGGCAGATTCAGTTCTGTGCCTTTTTTTGTGTCTGAGTAAAAAACGAGAGGCACTGGGAAACTGGGAACAATTTTCTTTGATTGTTCTCGTTCCAACGCCACGCTCCGACGCAAGCAATTATGAACGTCACAATCTTTCAATTATAGCGTAAATTTATTTTGCTTCTTTCGAGTTTGACATAGCGCAATGAAGCAAGGCGATATTATGACATTTTTGGTAGCAATTTTTGGATTATTGATGATCCTGTTTTCGCAAGAAGGTTTTGCATTACGTTTCTGTCCTCCACGAACCATGGCTGTTTCCCTACGCGAGGCAGGAGACGCTGCTGAATGCGTTTGCCTGGAGGAATTCACTGGCCCACAATGCCAGTACAGAGGTAGGTCATTACTGCGTACTATATATCAACTTATAGAACCTTAAATGCAAGTTAATAATATGAACCTTTCGCATTTATATTAAGAACAGTTTAAAACCGATAGAGCTATATATCCAGTATAAACAAACTTAGTTTAGTTTAGGTTTCTTCATGTAGTATCACTGGATTAATAAGAGATGATCCTTTCCGGCCTTAAGTTGGGAAGAAATGTTTAAAGCTGATAGAGCTATCCTGCATGCATAGATAAGTTAAGTTAGTTTAGATTTCCTTTTGTAGTAACAATGGAGCAATAAGCGGTGATCCTTTTTTGTAACTTTTATATATAGAAATCGAATAGCTTTGCAAAGGTAAAACTGTTTTTAAACTAAATAGTCTTGAGAACGAGTGGATTAATTTGAGACTCGTCTTGTAGTAACACTCCTAAATTACACAACAGAATTAAACAGAGAAAGAAAAATATAAGAGTAGCTAATTATTTAAAAATAAAAGTTTTTATACGTAAAACTTTTGATCATGCACGTTCTTCAGCGCGTGCACATCAATTAATTCCCCATTCCAAGCGCGCGCCATTAATGGCTAATCAATTTACAGAATTTATCTTTAAAAATCTGACATCTCATATAAGGGAAAAATTGCTATTTTAGACCATAGTTTTCAAATTTTTTGAACTGAATAAAATGAACTGCTGGTCTAATATTCTGTTGTATCCTTTGCCAATCCCGTCGGAACATTGTTACTGAATTTCAAGTTCAGAATAAAATATTAAAGAATTTACCTTTCAAAATCTGACGTTTTATATAAGGGAAAAATTGCTATTTTAGATAAAGATTTTCAAATTTTTTGACCTTAATGAAATGAACTGCTGGTCTAATATTCTGTTGTATGCTTTGTCAATCCCTTCTCAACATTCTTGCTCAATTTGAAATCTAGCAAATCAATATTAAAGAATTTAACTTTCAATGTCTGACATCTCATATAAGGGAAAAATTGCTATTTTAGACAATGGTTTTCAAATTTTTTGAACTAAATGAAAAAAACTACTGGTCTAATATTCTGTTGTGTCCTTTGCAAATCCGTTCTGAACATTGTTACTGAATTTCAAGTTCTGCAAATCAATATTAAAGAATTTATCTTTCAAAATCTGATATCTCATATAAGGTAAAAATTGCTATTTTAGACCATGGTTTCAAATTTCATGACCTGAATGAAATTAACTGCTGGTTTAATATTCTGTTGTATCCTTTGCCAATCCCTTCTGAACATTGTTACTGAATTTCAAGTTCAGCAAATCAATATTAAAGAATTTAGCTTTCAAAATCTGATATCTCATATAAGGGAAAAATTGCAATTTTGAACAATTGTTTTGAAATTTTTTGACCTTATTGAAATAAACTGCTGGTCTAATATTCTGTTGTATCCTTTACGAATCCCTTCTGAACATTCGTACTGAATTTCAAATTCAGCAAATCAATATTAAAGTGCCTATGTCATGATTGGGGAAATAGACTTTTTAGATAGTTTAGACGATTTTAAGAACTTTTGCAATATATTTGATAGGTCGGAAATTTCATCTTCATTGACTTTGAGGGCCTCAAATTTGGTGATTTTGACAATTTTAACGTTTGACCGTGACCCTGAAAAAACTGGTAACTAATGTTATGTGTGACGTCAAATCGGGAAGTCGCAAAGAGAACAATGCGCTTTTCTATAGAAATAAGACAGTGCTGCATTGTAAAAGCGGGGTTAACGAATATTTTTTGAAGATTTACGCCTTTTGTGTTCGGCATCTTCAGTGTTAAGATGCCACACAGGTGTGTCGTCTTTGGTTGTTCCAACACAGCGAATTTACGCGAAGGAATTGCACTGCACAGAATTCCGTATGCGAATGATATGCGGCCCGAGGCAAAAAAGCGAAGAAAGACTTGGGTAGATTTTCTCCGACGGAAACGTGAAAGATGGGAGCCTTCTGTCCATTCAGAAGTTTGCTCTAAACATTTTAAAGAAGAGGATTTTGTGAATCGCTACATTGGCGTCAATGAAATGCCTGACGCAGATAAACCATTGCTCGTGGCTCCTCGCTTGAAGCAAGACAATATAGGCATATGTGTGTTTCCTTCAAAATACTGCGAGACAAGTAGCACGTTATCCGCGAGAGACCGCCGTCGAATAGTGAGTATCATCAATACTTTATACTAGTACTTTATTCTTTATGGTTTTGATTCCCGTATTTTGCATACTCTGCGCAAAGTCACTGCGGATGATGAATGTATCATTATGGGACATTTCATAGGCATTATGCTGTAATTTGTATTTAGACTTTGACCTTTGTCTTTTAAATAAATAGTAAAATGATATTTTATCTATTTATAGACTCTTCGTGCTAAACAAACAGATTATGAAAAGTGTGGCGCTACAAAATCTCATAGTCAAGCAGCATCATGTTCATCAACCGAGAGTTTTGAACAATGCCCAACAGCAGAGAGTGACCAACACGATTTATGAGTTGAGATGCTTGAACAACAATCAGCAGAAGAAACTGACATGGTATTAAAGACGGAGTAATTTCCGGAATTATGCAAACAAATTCTATCTATCAAAATTATGCATATAAAGTCTATATCTATATATTTTAGGGTGATATTGAAGGAAATGTAAAGACCGCGTGGGTCCAGACAATGCCATCAAGTTGTAGCAATTGCAATGAATTAACGAAAAAGTTGAGGCAAATGAAGAAAAGGATGCTTTTTTATAAGGCTCAGTCAAGTTTTGGTAATCATAATCTGTTAATGTTGTTCAAAACATGTTATGATAATATATTCTGTAAATGTTGCTTATTGCAATCCCTTATTTATTTACTAGGTGGTGATAATTCATCATCAGATGATGCTACTAGTGATGAGGAAGAGGATGGTGATGATGATGATGATGTTAGCAGTGTTAGCAATGTTGACTCACATACATCAGAACCATCCATACCAACAGAGGTCGAAGAAGAACCAGCACTGGAAGAGCCATTGACTGCCACTGATACAGAATCGGAGATAGAGGATGATATTTCTGGGAAAAGGTACTAATTTTACTCAAATACACTATGTATAATTATAATAACTTGTAGGTACACCACGTAAGTATTAAATACTGCAAAGCTTTCGGTCCGTTAACCCGGACCTTCATCAGTGCAATAACTGATGAAGGTCCGGGTTAACGGACCGAAAGCTTTGCAGTATTTAATACTTACGTGGTGTACCTACAAGTTATTATAATTACTAAAGTCGCCATGCAATCATACAAGAAAATTATTACACTATGTATAAATGACCGAAATGAAATATCTATAAGAAATAAAGTACGCATGTAGTTGTATGCAAACATAAGCAAAATACCTTGATATCTTATATTGATATCTTATTACTTCATTCTATTCATTTAAGAGTCTATATCAAAGATGACAATTTGAGGACACAAGCAAAGTTTGTTGTCTTTCTTCCACAACTCATGGAATTATTTGGCACTTGTCCAACCTGTAGCATGCCAGGTGTCCTCATTGATGTTAAAAAGTTTGGAACAATGGTACAAATCGAGAGAACATGCAGTCAAAAAAAGTGCACAAAACGCAACAATGTGTGGAGCAGTCAACCAAAATTTCCTAACTCCAGTATTCCAGCGGGGAATTTACTTCTGTCATTTGCCATTTTAACTGGCGGTGGATCTGCAAGCAAAACGCTAAGAATATTTGAACATATGGGGTTAGGAAGCATATCTCTGTCCACATTCTACCGCCATCAACGTGTATGTATACATGCAGTTTGTTTGACTAGTTACCTAACCAGTTAGCTATATTGGTGTTGACCAGTTCAAAACAATTCCTATTTAGGTTGTTTTTTTCTATCATGACACAAAAATAGCTGCCACTCATTTGTTATTTGTTTGCTCTCTTGGAAGTTAGGTGAGGAATTTCCATCACCTTGTACTTATTATGAAGATCTCTTTATTTTAAGACCAAGCTGTTTCCCACCATTCATATGCATTGGAAATCATACAAAGCATCATGGCAAGCAAAGTTGAAAGAAATAGATGGCATTGTTTTAGCTGGGGATGGTCGTCATGACAGTATGGGACATAGCGCAAAATACTGTGCATATAGTTTGTTCTGTTGTGATGATCCAATAAATGCAATAATTGATTTCAGTTTAGTGCAGGTACTGTGTAATTGCATAATATTTGTAGATTTATGAACTCTTAGCATATTATATATTTGCATATTTTTCACCATTTAGAGAAATGAAGCTGGCAGCAGTCCTGCCATGGAATATATGGCTTTCACAAGATCAATGGAGGATGTATCAAAAAATGATTTGAATGTTAACACTTTTGTGTCTGATCGCCATTCATCCATTGCCAAACACATGCGAGAAAAGCTGCCAGAAATCACTCACTACTTTGACCTGTGGCATTTGACAAAAGTATGTGCTATAAATATTACATAATTGCTATGTAGAATATACAAACATACTAAAGACATACTGTATATTCTTTAGAGGTTTCAAAAGTACTGAGCAAAATTGCTAAGGAGAACGATTGTGAGGTGCTTTTACCATGGGTGAAGCCATGTGTTAACCATCTCATCTGGAGTGCCACATCCACAGCTGATGGTAATGGCCAAGTCATTTGGGCAAAATTGGAATCATCTTTGGAACATGTTGCTAATGTTCACAAAGACCTTCCTAATCCTGTCTTCAATAAGTGTGCACATGATGATATAGAGGAAAGAACATGGCTTGATAAAGGTAAAACATATTTTACAAAATAAAATCGGAACCAAAACATTTTATGTAATGATTTACCTATCAAAAGAGAGCCCATGTCATGAGAAGTCTAATAGTATTTGATTCATTCTTATACAATTTTTGGTTGCAGAGATATGAGCAAAAGTGTCTTTGTATTCTTTATAAATTTCATTATGAGATATCACTCAATTCAAAAAACCTAAAATCTGAACTAAATTTGTTTAGGTGATGATTTACCTATCAAAAGAGAGCCCATGTCATGAGAAGTCTAATGGTATTTGATTGATTCTTATACAATGTTTGGGTGCAGAGATATAAGCAAAAGTGTCTTTGTATTGATTATGAATTTCATTATGACATATCACTCATTTTAAAAAACCTAAAATCTGAACCAAAACATTTTAGGTACTGATTTACCTATCAAAAGAGAGCCCATGTCATGAGAAGTCTAATGGTATTTGATTCATTCTTATACAATTTTTGGTTGCAGAGATATGAGCAAAAGTGTCTTTGTATTCTTTATAAATTTCATTATGACATATCGCTCATTTTAAAAAACCTAAAATCTTAACCAAAACATTTTAGGTTATGATCTACCTATCAAAAGAGAGCCCATGTCATGAGAAGTCTAATAGTATTTGATTCATTCTTATACAAGTTTTGGTTGCACAGATAAGAGCAAAAGTGTCTTTGTATTCTTTATAAATTTCCTTATGAGATATCACTCATTTTAAAAAACCTAAAATCTAACCAAAATTTTTTCGATGATGATTTACCTATCACAAATAGAGACTATTTCATGAGAAGTCTAATGGTATTTGATTGATTCTTATACAATGTTTGGGTGCAGAGATATAAGCAAAAGTGTCTTTGTATTCTTTATAAATTTCATTATGAGATATCACTCATTTTAAAAAACCTAAAATCTGAACCAAAACATTTTAGGTTATAATTTACCTATCAAAAGAGAGCCCATGTCATGAGAAGTCTAATGGTATTTGATTCATTCTTATACAATTTTGGTTGCAGAGATATGAGCAAAAGTGTCTTTGTATTCTTTATAAATTTCATTATGAGATATCACTCATTTTAAAAAACCTAAAATCTGAATCAAAATTTTTTAGGTGATGATTTAGCTATCAAAAGAGAGCCCATGTCATTAGAAGTCCAATGGTATTTGATTGATTCTTATACAATGTTTGGGTGCAGAGATATAAGCAAAAGTGTCTTTGTATTCTTTAAAATTTCATTATGAGATATCACTCATTTTAAAAAATTTAAAATCTGAACCAAAACATTTTAGGTAATGATTTACCTATCAAAAGAGAGCCCATGTCATCAGAAGTCTAATGGTATTTGATTGATTTTATACAATGTTTGGTTGCAGAGATATGAGCAAAAGTTTCTCTTTGTATTCTTTATAAATTCATTATGAGATATCAGTCATTTTAAAAAATTAAAATCTGAACCAAAATATTTTAGGTAATGATTTACCTATCAAAAGAAGGGTGCATGTCATGAGAAGTCTAATGGTATTTGATTCATTCTTATACAATTTTTGTTGCAGAGATATGAGCAAAAGTGTCTTTGTATTCTTTATAAATTTCATTATCAGATATCACTCATTTCAAAAAACCTAAAATCTGAACCAAATTTTTTTAGGTGATGATTTACCTATCAAAAGTGCAACCCATGTCATGAGAAGTCTAATGGTATTTGATTCATTCTTATACAATGTTTGGTTGCAGAGATATGAGCAAATGTGTCTTTGTATTCTTTATAAATTTCATTATGAGATATCACTCATTTTAAAAAACCTAAAATGTGAACCAAAATTTTTTAAATGATGATTTACCTATCAAAAGAGAGCTCATGTCATGAGAAGTATAATGGTATTTGATTCATTCTTATACAATTTTTGGTTGCAGAGATATGAGCAAAAGTGTCTTTGTTTTGTTTATAAATTTCATTATGACATAACACTCATTTTAAAAAACCTAAAATCTGAACCAAAATTTTTAGGTGATGATTTACCTATCAAAAGACAGCCCATGTCATGAGAAGTCCAGTGGTATTTGATTGATTCTTATACAATGTTTGGGTACAGAGATATAAGCAAAAGTGTCTTTGTATTCTTTATAAATTTCATTATGAGATATCACTCATTTTAAAAAACCTAAAATCTGAACCAAAAATTTTTAGGTGATGATTTAGCTATCAAAAGAGAGCCCATGTCATGAGAAGTCCAATGGTATTTGATTGATTCTTATACAATGTTTGGGTGCAGAGATATAAGCAAAAGTGTCTTTGTATTCTTTAAATTTCATTATGAGATATCACGCATTTTAAAAAATTTAAAATCTGAACCAAAACATTTTAGGTAATGATTTACCTATCAAAAGAGAGCCCATGTCATGAGAAGTCTAATAATATTTGATTCATTCTTATACAATTTGGTTGCAAAGATATGAGCAAAAGTTTCTTTGTATTCTTTATAAATTTCATTATGACATATCGCTCATTTTAAAAAACTTAAAATCTGAACCAAAACATTTTAGGTTATGATTTACCTATCAAAAGAGAGCCCATGTCATGAGAAGTCTAATAGTATTTGATTCATTCTTATACAATTTTTGGTTGCAGAGATATGAGCAAAAGTGTCTTTGTTTTGTTTATAAATTTCATTATGACATATCACTTATTTTAAAAAACCTACAATCGGAACCAAATTTTTAGGTGATGATTTACCTATCAAAAGAGAGCCCATGTCATGAGAAGTCCAGTGGTATTTGATTGATTCTTATGCAATGTTTGGGTGCAGAGATATGAGCAAAAGTGTCTTTGTATTCTTTATAAATTTCATTGTGACATATCACTCGTTTTAAAAAACCTAAAATCTGAACCAAAATTTTTTCGGTCATGATTTACCTATCAAAAGAGAGCCCATGTCATGAGAAGTCCAATGGTATTTGATTGATTCTTATACAATGTTTGGGTGCAGAAATATAAGCAAAAGTGTCTTTTGTATTCTTATAAATTTTCATATGAGATATCACTCATTTAAAACCTAAAATCTGAACCAAACATTTTAGGTAATGATTTACCTATCAAATGAAAGCCCATGTCATGAGAAGTCCAATGGTAATTGATTGATTCTTTTACAATGTTTGGGTGCAGAGATATAAGCAAAAGTGTCTTGTTATTCTTTATAAATTCATTATGACATATCACTCATTTTAAAAAACCTAAAATCTGAACGAAACATTTTAGGTAATGATTTACCTATCAAAAGAGAGCCCATGTCATGAGAAGTCCAATAGTATTTGATTCATTCTTATACAATTTTTGGTTGCAGAGATATGAGGAAAAGTGTCTTTGTATTCTTTATAAATTACATTATGAGATATCACTCAATTCAAAAAACCTAAAATCTGAACCAAATTTGTTTAGGTAATGATTTACCTATCAAAAGAGAGCCCATGTCATGAGAAGTCCAATGGTATTTGATTGATTCTTTTACAATGTTTGGGTGCAGAGATATAAGCAAAAGTGTCTTTGTATTCTTTATAAATTTCATTATGACATATCACTCATTTTAAAAAACCTAAAATCTGAACGAAACATTTTAGGTAATGATTTACCTAAGAAAAGAGAGCCCATGTCATGAGAAGTCTAATAGTATTTAATTCATTCTTATACAATTTTTGGTTGCAGAGATATGAGCAAAAGTGTCTTGGTATTCTTTATAAATTTCATTATGAGATATCACTCAATTCAAAAAACCTAAAATCTGAACCAAATTTGTTTAGGTGATGATTTACCTATCAAAAGAGAACCCATGTCATGAGAAGTCTAATGGTGTTTGATTCATTCTTATACAATGTTTGGTTCAGAGATATGAGCAAAAGTGTCTTTGTATTCTTTATAAATTTCATTATGAGATATCACTCAATTCAAATAACTTAAAATCTGAACCAAATTTGTTTAGGTGATGATTTCCTATCAAAAGAGAACCCATGTCATGAGAAGTCTAATCGTATTTGATTCATTCTTATACAATGTTTGGTTGCAGAGATATGAGCAAATGGTCTTTGTATTCTTTATAAATTTCAATATGACATATCACTCATTTTAAAAAACCTAAAATCTGAACAAAATTCTTTTAGGTAATGATTTACCTATCAAAAGAGAGCCCATGTCATGAGAAGTCTAATGGTATTTGATTGATTCTTATACAATGTTTGGGTGCAGAGATAAAAGCAAAAGTGTCTTTGTATTCTTTATAAATTTCATTATGAGATATCACTCATTTTAAAAAACTTAAAATCTGAACGAAACATTTTAGGTAATGATTTACCTATCAAAAGAGAGCCCATGTCATGAGAAGTCTA